CACAGGCCCCTCTCACATGTCACACAAGACTAAGTCGCAGTGGTCCCAGCTCCACAGGCCTTACAAGTCCCACAGGTCGCCAAGGCCCCGCAGGGCGCACAGTTTCCACGAGCCCCACAAGTCTTGAAGGCCCCGTCAGGTCGCACAAGATCCAGGGGTCCCTCGGGGCCCGTAGGTCCCGCGCACCCCAAAAGTCCCACACGCCCCACATGTCTAACCAGCCCCACAGCCCCAAAGGGCGCACAGGCCCCACCAGGTCCAGGGGTCCCACAGGCCTCGCAGGTCCCACACGTCCCACAGGCCCCAGAAGCCCCACAGGCCCCGCGATCCCCAAAGGTCCAACAAACCCCGCAGGTCACACAGCCTCAACCGTCCCCACAGGTCGTAAAGGTCCCACAGGTCGCATTCAGGTATTCTGGCATCCTGGCATCATCGCCATCGCTAGTCGTTGGTGATGGCGAGTCTCATAAGCACTAAAGGCATTATATTTGATGTCTCTTCTCTCGGACCATCGTTCGAATCAGTTACGCGCTGCGTTGTCATGCTTGCGGAACGCGTTACGACTTGTTTGTCTCTCAAGTCATTGACCCCATCACGTGGCTACCCACAACGTGTTTTTTATTGTTTCACTGCAGGTTTTTGTTTGCGAAAGTTGGGCGCCTTGGGTAAATATGTAACATATGAAAGAGTAGCAATTCCAGATGCTCCAATATGGTTGGCTCTTGGTTTGCTCTTTGGGCCGTTTTGAGGCCCTCGTCTTCCAAGCCTCATCTAAGCCTGTTGGCAATCTCCGGATGGCTCCGAAAGGGCCCAGGAGAGACCCCAGAGGGCCCTGTGAGGGAGCCAGGGTGGAGCATCTGAGAGGTCCGCTTCAGATGCTCCGCTCTGGCCGGCTCTTGGGGCCCGCTTGGGGCTCGCATTAGCTCCCCTGAGAGCTCCTGGGGACGTCAAGGTGGCTCCAAGAGGACCCCAAGATAGCCCCGAAAGCGAGCCACAGTGGAGCATCTGAAAACGCCGTTGCAAACTGCTCCACTCGGGTTGGCTTTTCGGACGGGCCGTTTGAAGCCTCCCTGGGGCCTCTTGGGGACTTCCAGATGGCCCCGAAAGGGGCCCAGAAGGGGCTCCAGTGGGCCCCGTGGCCAAGCCAGAGTGGAGCATTTGAAACGGCCGGCTCAGATGTTCCAATCTGGTTGGTTCTGGGGCTGTCTTGGGATCCTTTCCGGCGCCCCTGAAACTTTCAGGGGGCCCGAAGGTGGCTCCGAAAGGACCCTAGAGAGGGCTCGAGAGCGAGTCAGAGTGGTGCATTTGAAGCAGCAGTTTCAGATGCTCTGCTCTGGTTGGCTCTTTGGGCCGTCTCAGGGCACCCCCCACGGGCCTTTTTGAAAGCCATATCGGGCTCCTGGGAGACATCACGCTGTCCGCACAGGTTGCGCTCGAGCACCTGGTTGGATTTTCTCCCGAGTAATCCTGAACTGGTGTTGTCTTCCGACTCAGGCCGAGGGGTGCGTCGCGCTCGCAGGTGCACGGCGGTTCTGAGTCAGGGTGTTTGTTGGGCGAGGTCGTGCGAGCGCGTACTATGCATGCTTACGCGTGTTGCATATTCGTGTTTCGTTAAGGTCTTTTCTCACGTTCATGTTATGTGGTGCTGGCCCGTCATGGAGTTCACCAAATGTTCTTAAGATATGCGTTTACTGGAGGCTGACTGTACTTCCAGGCGTTCTTCCATTGAGCAGAATTTTAAAACCCAAATTCGGGTGAGGAGAGCTTGATTCGGAAAGTCCTGCTTGCAGCGGTATCCTCGAGTGGTTTTGTTAGTCCAGACCTTTTGGGAGCCACTTTACGAAACAATCACCGCGTCGGATGTCTGGGCTCGGGTATCGTCCTTCATTGCTCCTCATCATCATCCCTCTCATGCCCCGCTGCCATCTCTTGCTCCTCCTCCTCCTTTTCCTCCTCTTCCTCCTCTCGCTTCCTCCTCTTCCTACTCCTCCCCTCCTCTCTCCCCCTCTTCCTCCTCTTGCTGACCTTGGTGTCGTCTCCTCCGCTGGTCAAAAAGAAGCAAGCCCTTGCAGGGGCCGGGATAGGTCCCGGCGGCCCCTGGAGTGGAGAGGAGGGGAGGGAGGAGGAGTCTCCTCCTCCTCCTCCTCCTCCTCCTCCTCCTCCTCCTCCTCCTCCTCCTCCTCCTCCTCCTCCTCCTCCTCCCCCCTTTCCTCCTCCTCGTGGGGAGGGTTTTCGTGGAATCTTCATTTCAGCGTTGGGTGGTTTGGTCGACCAGGATATCCCTGGTCGCATGTGGGCCCCTGATACCAAGCCCCCCTCCCCGTCACCACATGTCAAAGATTGCAGCCCGGGCGCTCCTTCTCTCACCCCCCCCTCTCTTTGGTAATCCCTCCTTTCAGTTTTGGGAGGGCAGGGTAGGTGATGATGGGGACCATCGTCGGGAGGGAAGCGTGCGCCTCGTCGCACCCCCCCCCAGCTCGAGGGTCTGCGCAGGCGAGGGTCTCGCTTCTCCCCGACCGCTTCCCCGTTGCACACCTCCCGTAGCACTCTTTTGTGCTGCCTTTTGCGCGGGCGTGCCAAGCAGTCGGCTGGGCCCCAACCTCATTGGACTCTTTCCGGTCCAGCCTGCCGAGTTGCAGCCCGCGATCGTCCAGGATTCAGGCATTGCACGATACTCCTGGTCCCCGTGCTCCTTTGCGGACGGGTGGTTTGGTCGATAAGGATATCCTGGGACACATGTGGGGCCCCTGATACAAAGCCCCCCTCCCCGTCAGCACAGGTCAAATATTGCAGCTAGGGCTGTCCCTCTCTCACACCTCCCCCTATCGTTGGTAATCCTCCTCCTCCTCCTCATCCTCCTCCTCCTCCTCCTCCTCCTCCTCCTACTCGTGGCAGCCCACACTTCTGTCGGCTTCAGCGACGGGCCCACCTGTTGGGAAGACCCACAGTGTCACTCAAAGACCATCCAAGACAATGCTAACCTGTTTGCTTGCAGAAGGGGCGCAGGTTAGCAGCAGTGGAAAGGGTGAAGCTGAACTTTCGACTTCGCCAACTCCAGCTCGTGGGCTGGCGAGTGCGACAGAGGCTGGCAGAGGCAGCAGGTGTGGTGGAGCCAACGATGGGAGCCCAACGTCATCAGCTACCGAATTGGACCTGCAGCATAGTGGAAAAGCATGCAGTGGTGACCACAAGATCGGCGACGGTGGTGCTCGCTTGACGTCTATTGCAATGGTGTTGGAGTCACAGCATGCCAGAAAAAGCAGACAGGGACAGCACATGTGTAGGTAGACATGGGAGCTCAACGCTATCAGCTGGTGTCGCGGTTGCAAGTCCGTGCGAGAAGGTGGAGCTGTGGCCGTCCATGGGTGTTGGCACCAGCAGTGGCAGCCGCTCTGGGGCGGCTGGAAGCTTCATCGCCGCAGAGTGACCAGTCTCGCCCTCACCTCAGACGGACATCCAAGTCGTTTCACGGCAGCACGGGGTTGTCAAAAATAATGGCAAAGTTGATGACAGTGGAAGCCAGGAGAGCAAAGTGAGTAAGGGGCAGAGGGCTGGGTCGTCAGATGCCTCCCGAATTTGGCGGAACACCACTGGAGCCCGCTGAAGCAGCTCCATGTCTGACATTGTTGCGCCAGGACTCCCGTCGCATTTTTCGCATCAGTTGAGAGCGCAGCGTGGTGCAACCTATTCCTATCCAATCTGGCTCTGCTGGGACTCAGAGAGGCGCGGCATGTGATCAGCATGAAGGCCACCTGGTTACTGTTTCATTCATGAGTATGTGTTAAGCACCCGTGTTACGCTGTAAGATTGTTCGGCGAGACGTTCTCGCTGTTCCTCGCGGAGGTGGTCCTCTTCAAGCGCAGCGCGGTCGGGGGGTCCTGGGCCCTTCAGGTGGAGTCGAAGCCATTCGCGGTCCCCGTCCACAACGAGGTATAGCCTGTTTCTTGTTTCCTGTCTCCTCCTCCTCCCTCCTTCGACATCCTCGGACGTTTTTTTGTGCAACGTGGATCTTCATAGGTTTCGGCCTCTCTCCAGGGAGTTGTATCATCCCGGGCCAGTTTTGGCCCTGGGGCCTGGTCAGGGCCCCCCAGAAGTCGAACATTGTCCAAAACCGTCCGTCGTGTTTCCATGTCTTATTCTCAGGTGCATCCTGGCCATCATTCAATCACAAGCCTAGGAGCTGTGTCGACAGAGTTATCAAGAAGGCAACAATAAAGACAATAAAGGGAAGGCGACGAACCCAGGCCAGTCCGATCCCGACCCCTTCCCGCCAGCATCCGCTCGCAGACAAGAGAGTTGCTCGGGCGGGGGCCTCGCGATTCAGCGCGTGCTCGCTGCACTTGGCGGCGGCGATTGCCTTCACAGCGAGCGTAGGCCAGGGCCCTCCCAGCACTCCAGGCGCCCTCGCGGGCTCGGCGCCCGTGCGGTGCCGTACCCCCAGAGGGAGGGAGGCCTCCCAGAGCCCGTGGGCGGGGCACGAGCTGGTTTCGCCAGCGCCGGTTTCGCCCCGCTGGTTTCGCCGACGGCTGGTTTCGCCGGCGCTGGTTTCGCCAGCGCTGGTTTCGCCCCGCGGGTTTCGCCGGCGCTGGTTTCGCCGGCGCTGGTTTCGCCGGCGCGGGTTTCGCCGACGCCATCGTCGCCGTCGGGCGGGCGGGACATTGAAGTGTGGGGCGCGCTCCGCCGAGCACGCGCGAATCTCGTCGGGCGGGTCGGGTCGGGCGGGCGGACCCTGGCGGGCGGGTCGGGGCAGGGCGGGCGGGCGGACCCTAACGGGCGGGTCGGGTCGGGCGGGCGGGATATTGAAGTGCGGGGCGCGCTCGACCGAGCACGGGCGAACGCTAACGGGCGGGTCGGGTCGGGCGGGCGGACCCCAGCGGGCGGGGCGGGTCGGGTCGGGCGGGCGGGTCGGGTCGGGTCGGGCAGTTTCGCCAACGACAGCTGGTTTCTCCGACGGCAGCGGTCGCCGTGGGGGGGCCGAGCCGCGCCCCGCCCCCCTCCAGGAGGAGGAGCCGTCGTCCATGGTGGAGCGGCGCGCGGGCAGGATCGGAGGGAGGAGAAGCGACACCACCGCCATCCTCGGGGGCGGTCAAGAGGGGGGGTGATGACTAGGGGGGGGAGGATAACATGGTAGGGGCCAGGATACCTTCCCGGATTTCATGGCGCCTACTGTTCTTATTTCAATGCATCCCTGCCCCCCCCCCTGGACCGCGCACGTGCTGCCGGCCATGATTTGCGCCCCCCCCTCCTGGACGCTCCCCTCTTGGCCGCCCCCGACATCCCATGCGGGCAAGATCTGCATCCGTGTCCACTGCGTCTTGGAGTTCTGGGGTTCCCTTCCTGGGAAAAACCAGAGGCGCAGTGGGTGTGGATCCAAAACTGGCCCTTCGGGGCCATGCTTTTTCCATATCCACTGCGCCTCGGCCTTGTGCCGCCCTGCCCCAAAAAGTCCAAGACGGGTGGGAACTTTGGGATAGCGTGTCGCGCCGCCGGTTCTGGCCCATCGTGCTGTGGCCTGACACGACATCCACTTGCCCGTCTCCCCAGCGTTAACGTCCCGAGCTTTTCCGAGCCTCCCGCCCCGCGGAGCGGAGCGACAGCGCTATCCACTCGCAAGGCATCGCGTGCTGCCGGGGCCGCCGGGGCGACGCGCTGAGGATAAGTTTCTAACCGTAGGCACCCCCAGTGCGGTCCGCGTAGATGGGGTCGGAGGATCGCGCCGCATCGCCGATGCATCGGCGATGCGGCTTGATATTGAGTCCGATTTCCTCGCCCACGGCGCCGATGCATCGCCGACGTCGCCGATGCGCTGCGATCCTCCGACCCCATCTGCGTGGGCCAGGCTTGGGAGGCCTCTGCACCACCAAGAGGGCCACTTCAGCGAGGAGGTCCACGATGCCTCCCCGAGCCGGAGGCTGGAGGTGTCTCGGGCAAGGCAGGGGGACCACACCGCTATAGCCAGGATGACCTGCCCTGGCTCCTCCCAGGGGTGGTGGTGGTGGTGGTGGTGGTGGTGGTGGTGGTGGTGGTGGTGGTGGTGGTGGTGGTGGTTGGCAATCGTCTGGCAATGGGTTTCCCACACTCCGGAATTATGGGGAACCCAGGGGGGTCGTGGTGAGTTTAGGTTTCCCATACATCGCAGGCGTGGTGGTGCCGCTTCTCTCTGTTCCTGCAGGACCGCCCGCCTGGCGCACAGGGAGCCGGGCTCGTCCTTGCCGCTGCTCCCGTGCCCAGCGGCGCAGAGGAGAGAACGAAGTGGAAGAGGAGGAGGAGGAGGAGGAGGAGGAGGAAGAGGAGGAGGAGGAGGAGGAGGAGGAGGAGGAGGAGGGAGAAGAGGAGGAGGAGGAGGAGGAGGGGGGGGAGGAGGAGGAGGAGGAGGAGGAGGAGGAGGAGGAGGAGGAGGGGAGGAGGAGGAGGAGGAGGAGGAGGAGGAGAAGGAGGAGGAGGAGGAGGAGGAGGAGGAGGAGAAGGAGGGGGAGGAGGAGGAGGAGGAGGAGGAGGAGGAGGAGGAGGAGGAGGAGGAGGAGGAGGAGTAGGCGGCACAGGGAGTGACCCTTATGCCGCGGCAAATAGCGGAAATAGCGGAGAAGGAGGAGGAGGAGGAGGAGGAGGAGGAGGAGCAGGTTTCTTTCGCGGCGCGTTCGGCCTCCGCTTGCCTTCCGCGGGCGGAGCCACTCGCGTTCTGCGCCCGCCGTGCCGTCTCGTGGGCCAGCACCTCGCTGACGGCCCGAGAGGGCCGGCGGGGTGCCCCAGAGGCAAGAGGGGACCAAAGCTCTGCACGAACGGGATGGGCACGGACAGAATGGGTACGATGCCCAACAGCAGTTCCTGTTCATTTGGAGCAGGACTCGCTGTCCACGCCGCCGCGGCCTGTGTCCATCTGAGACAGAAGGCCGCCCGCCCAACAGCGGCCGCTGTTGGTTTTGGACAACATTTGTTGTTGGGCATCGTACCCACTTTTTCAGTACCCATTTCGGGCGTCCCAAAAAACTCAAACAGTGGCGAAGCGTCTGGGCTCGCCTACAGCCCTACCAAACAATGTTCCAAGAACCTTTTTGTGGGTTCCTTCCACGAAATGTTCTTAGAACATTTCTGGCGGAACCCGTCTTGTTTTGTCACACCAGGCTTATGTTCTAAGAACATTGTTTCCTCATTCGAACATGTTTTGGTTCTAAGAACATGTCGTGGCAGGAATGCCGGGACGGTCGGTCCCTGCTCCAAAAACCCTCCCGCCGCAATTCCGTCGAGGCGAGAAGGAGGGCGAGAGGGGGGGATAGCAAAGGGGGGGGGGGAGGGAGAACCAGCTCGCGTAGCTGATTCTCCCGGCGCCTCCCGGCGCCGGAGGCGGCTATGTATCGAGGAAGGGGCCCCTCGGCGGGGCCGAAACCAGCTGCATGCAGCAGATTTCGTAGATAACCCCCCCCTTTCCCCATCCCCCCCTCTCGCCTGGCCCGAGGGAGGGAGGGCGCGCGAAGGTACCCCGCCAACCTCACCCTCGCGCCCGCGGCCTCGGGGGCCCTCCTGCTCTCGCCGGACGCGCGCCTGGTCCTGGGCAGGCCGTGGGCGGGGCGCGCACATCCACACCCGTATAGGGCCTGCGCGGGCCGGGCCCCCGCGCCGGGCGCCCAGCCGGCGGGGACGCGGGGCGCTTCTCCGCGGATGCCCCGCGCGGAGCGCAGCCGTTCGAGCAGTGGCGCAGCGTCCTGGCTGGCCTAAAAGCCCTACCGAACCATGTTCTAAGAACCTCTTGCGGTTCCCACGAGCTGTTCTCAGAACATTTCTGGCGGGGACTGTCTCGTTTTAGCACATGGGGTGTGTGTTCTAAGAACATTGTTCTTGTTCTTAGAACATTTTCGGGTTCTGAGAACATTTCCTGGTATGACTATAGGAATGCCGGGACGGTCGTTCCCTGCTCAAGCCGTGCGACCGCGACTCCACGGGATTGCGCCCAGGACCCCAGACCGCGAGGGCGTGGCCACACATCCAGGCCGGCCCGGCGAGGGCCCCCGGAGGCCGACAGCGGCCCCAAACCGGCCGCTCCAGTTTTTGGCCGGGGCGTCGAATCTCTCTGGGTGGGTGTGGATGCGCTCGCCGCTCCTGCGCAGGGGCGTGTCGGCGGAGGGCCCCGCCGTAAAGGCCCTGAAGGCGCACCTAGCCGCGCTGCCGCGGCGGGCCGCCAGGGTGGAGGCGACCGTCCGCCAGGGGCCCAGGTGATCCCGGCGCCGCTGCGGGCTTCCGCCCTCAGGTCCTCAGGTCCTCCTCCTCCTCCTCCTCCTCCTCCTCCTCCTCCTCCTCCTCCTCTTCCTCCTCGCCGCAGGTCGCCGCGGGTCCAGGCGGCGCAGGAAATCGAGGCTCGAAGTTCGAGGCATTCTGGCGTCTTCGTCGGTTCTCGGGGGCTCTCTGGGCTCGAGGTGCCTTTCAGCAGCTGCACCTGGCCGAGGGCGCTCCCAGGGTGCCCGGATCGTCGCAAACGGTCGCCAGAGACCCAAGTTATGGCCCGCAAGTCAGGCGATCTTGACATCCTGCCGATGTGAAGAGTTTATGGCGAACGGTTTTTTGCCCAGCTTTGGCCTCCAACCAGGGGCCCTTGCCAGGCCTCGGGGCTGAACAAAACGACTCGGGATGAAACGCTGGTCCTGGGGAAGGGGTCCAGACCTCTTGGGGCCACTCTGCGCAAAGATCACGACGTCGGGTGTCTGGGTGCCCTCAAGTCCAGGCGATGCAAACAACTCGCGGCGGCAAGTCTTCGATTTTTGTTCGGCCTCTGGAGGCCGCCTCCCAGTCCCAGAGCTGTGAAAACACGACTCGGGACGAGAAGCCGGCCCTGGGGAAGACTTCGAGATCCACGGGCCCCCCGTCACGAAAAAAAACAGCGTCGGATGAGAGGGTGGCCGCCAACATTGTGCAAGGGCTGCAGGGGTGTCCTCGGTTCGGTTGCTCGGCTGCGTCGCAGTCGGCTGCGCTCGGTCGGCTGCGCTCAGTCGGTTCGGTCCCGTCGGTTTCTGCGCCGCTGCGTCCCTCTGGGCTCTTTTCGGTCCGTCGGGTTCGTTCGGTTTCGGTTTCGCTGTTGGTTCGGGTTGTGTTCTGCTTTGCTCTCGCCGCGTACCCATACCATGTTGCAGTGGTGCCGTAACTCCTTCTACCTGTTTTGGTGAGCCTCGGGTGGCACTCTTGCGAACCCTACCCCCTGGGGTCCAATCGACGCTGGAATATCGGACCCCCCTCCACTTGGGTTCACATGGCTGCAGACATGCTTCGATGCTTGGCCCCGCGCCAGTGCTTCAGAAATTTGACCTGCAGGAGCAGGGCTCGCACGCAGCTGCCCAGAATGATCGAGGACCGAGGCCCCGCGGCTCCAAGACGTCGGACCTCCGAAAGTGTCTGTATATGCGGACGTTTCTTATTTAATCGCTTCGCTCACTCCGCCGGCCCGTATTGTGCCATCGCAGGCGTTTGCCTGCGCGTTCGTGGCCTCTTGGAGGCCGTTTGTGGGCCTCTTGGAGTTGGGCCTCTTGGCGGTATTTCTGGGACCTTCCGGGGCGTCACGGGGGCCTCTTGGGGCCTCTTTGGAATCTCTCGGGGCCTCTCGGGGGCCTCTTGGGGGCTTTTTGTGGGCTTTTTAGGACCTCCAGGGGACCTATGCGGACGCGCCTTATTGCCTTGCCTTCCCTTGCTTCCCTCCCGCAACCCCTCCTCCCCCGCAGACCCCCTGGCGGCGCGACTTGTTTCGCCACGGTGGACGCCCAGAGGCCTCGACTCTGTCCCTGTGACCGGCTTGTCGCCACGAGCCGTCTCTTTTGGGATGCCCCCGGCGGCCCTGCGAGGGCCCCAACACAGAGAGGCCGACGCGCGCGGAACGCTCTCCGCTTCCATGTTTTTTTTGTGTCTGCCCCTGGCGTGATGAGGGCTTGGGGGGGGTGGAAACCTGTAGCGCGTTTGCGCCTCTCTCTCTCTCTCTGTCTCTCGCCTCCTCCTCCTCCTCTGCCCCTCCTCCTTTTCCTTCTCCACCTCCTTCTCCAGTTCGGAACCTCGGGACTGCGGGCGTTGGTACTGAGGTGGCGCTGCCTTCCCTTCTCCAGTCCTCCCTCCTCATCATCCATCCTCCTTCTTCTTCTCATTCTGCGACATTGCGCCTCCTCCTCATTCCTCCTCCTCCTCCTTCTCCACCTCTTCCTCCTCCTCCTCCTTGTGCGCTGGGCGAGCTTACGCCACGGAGCTGGAGCATAGCACGATAAAATATTCATGCGTGAAGCCGATTTCGGCAAAGCGCGAGCCAAATTCCTCGAGGCCAGCGTAGAATACTAATGGGCGGGGGATGAGAGACAAGCAACCAGTTGGGCCAAACGGCTTGAAGTATACGCTAGCCTCGCGGTGCTGGTGGGAGTGAAGGAATCCGAACTGAATGTATCGACTAGAACTGATCATGTAAGATACTGAGGAAGAACGCCACCAAGGAGGATCCGAAATACGCGTGCAAGTAAAAAGAAAGGTGAAGGAGTATCTGCCTATTTGTTGTTCAGCAGTATTTCCTATTGGTCGGGTGAGTCAGACAGTTCCGCTTAAACTTGGCCGACGTCGCGTAGTAATCCTCCCATCCCAACAGCTGCAGGCATTCCACAGCCCCACCGCCGCCATCGGTGCAGTAACTGAGCTGTAGCGAAACTGGGCTGGGCAACTGGGCTATGCAAAAGTGTCGAAAGGCTAGCCCTGAAGTGCTGCCAACGATCACTCTCCGAACCACCGCTAACACAGCCATTAGCATTGAGCAAGCGACTGAATGCTGGGCATGGGCTAGCTGGAACGCGTGGGACCTTGCTAAGACGATCTCTGGGTCAAACGTATGTCTTCGCAGAGCGGGTCAGAGCGTAGAAGAGGTCAATCTTGTCATAGGCTGGCGCTGTAGAGGCTAGCCTGTGATTACATTCCGTGTGCTGCGAAATTACTGAATGTATTTTTATGTCAGCGCTGGTCGGTGCTGAACGGCAGTTCACAGTAGGGGTCTGATGGCCCTTCCCCTGCCGAAGGCCCAAATGCCGCAGCAGCCATACGGAAAGTATGACACACACACACACACACCCCTCGGTGTAGGCTGGGCTGCAATCGCCAGGCTACTGCAACTGAACGTCGGATCTTCGCCATCCCCGTCCGAATTCCGATCCCCACATAGCCCCAAGAGTCCCTCCATCCTTACGACCAAACAGGTTGGTGAGTAGTCGTACTGGGTAGTCAGGCTCGCACGGAAACGAGTTGAGTGTGATATCACTAAATTGTAGAGGCCTCGGGCCTGTGCCGCCGATTCGGGAAGCTCCATGGCGCTCCGTAAGAACTCGTCGTCCTGTTGAATAGCTTGTCAGCTTTACCTCGAGGAGGAAGGAGGGAGGGAGGGAGGAGGAGGAGGAGGAGGAGGAGGAGGAGGAAGGATGAGGATGAGGATGAGGAGGAGGAGGAGGAGGAGGAGGAGGAGGAGGGGAAGGACCAGTGCAAACCCAAGACTCACCAACGATATTGCAATAGACCCTCCATCCAAGTTCCCCCTTCATGGGCCCCCACGAGGGTTCATGCTTATTGAAGGAAGTGCCCCGTTGGAAGACAGCCGTTAGAAAATCCGGAATTCTGCCAGAACGCCGTTCTGTTGATCTTGACCACGCGAATCACCATGATTGTTGCGTCTTGCCGATCTTGAGCCGTGCCAGAACACCATCTCAGATATTATCTGAGATATGATCACCACGAATCAATCTAACTTTTGCGAGCTGGCAGTCAGACATCGTACCATAACGCCAGTGTCCAGATGGTAACCATGGAAGCCTTCGAAACTGTTGTAAACTCTCGAAACGAATGTGCACGGCGGTAAGGCGAGAGCCAGATTTGGAAAAGGAACCGCCCTCCATCCGTGAAGCTGTTGCGTTTGTTGGAGCGAAAGTGCGCGGCGCTGAGGCGAGAGCCACATTATGTTTTAATATTGATGTGCGCGGCGCTCAGGCGAGAGCCACATATTGAAAACCACCCGCCCTCCATCCGTGAAGCTTTGGCAAAGGTCAGGCTTCGGGATCATACATGGTGAGGAAGTCTCAGGCGAAACGCCCAGCCCGCCCTTTCGACCGGCCTCGGGGTGCGACATAGGAGTTATCGTTCATAAAGAATGTAATGGAGGAGGCAGAGGAGGATGGGAAGGAGGGTGTTGTCAATCGCAGTAGGCAGCATGATGTGTTGAATGGAATAATTGTGTCGTGTCCGTCTGTCGAGCTTGATGGCGAGCTTCTGGCCGGGAGCTCCGGCCCCAGCCCCTGCCCCCCTGCCCTGGCTCCGGCCCCGGCCCCAGCCACGGCCCCAGCCCGCGGGCCCGCGGGCCCGCGGGCCCGCATGGAACAAAAGCTGGCCTTTGTTCCATGCCGCCCTGCATGGTCCTGGCCCCCCGGCGTTTCTCGGCCCCGGCCCCGGCCCCGGCGGTGGCTCCTGCCCCGGGCTGGGGCTGGGGCCCGGCTCAGCCCCAGCTCCACCCCTCCCGCCCTGGCCCCGTCCCCGGCCCTGGTCCCAGGCCATATGGCTGCAGCAGCCCCGGCCCCGGTCTGGCCTTGAAGCCCCGGCCCCGGCCCCGGCCCCGCCCGCCCCGAGCTCCATGCCGCGGCCCCCGCCCCAGCCCCGACCCCCAGCGCAGCCCCAGCCCCCGAAAAACAAGGAGGCATCCCCCGTGCACCGTTTCCCGGCAGAGCCACCCGGGCAAACGCCTCAGCAGAGCTGAAGCTCAGGCTGCAGCTTCTTAAAACTCGCACGTTGGATTGGCGGATGTGAAGTAGGCTGGCCGTACATACACCGTCTGGCCTGGTATTTGGTGGCATGCATTCGGAAAGACAGGCCAAGGTCGATGTAGACAGTCTGAAATGAGAATGGCGGTGTTGCGCAGCCGCGGGTGTCAGGAGGTCCTCGGAGTACCAGGAGGGCGTTTGCTCAGAGAACGGTGGGTGGGTCTTGTTAAAGTTTTAGCAGCGCGCGGAAGTCCCACCAAACCCGCCAACCTCCCAACGCCCCCAACTCCTACAACCACCCATCTCCATGACACGAGGAACCAATGCAGTGGCTGCTGAAAACCAGGGTGCGCGTTGTCATCTGGTGTAGGCGGTCAGCTGAACTGGATACCTGTTGCAGATGATTTGTTGCGAATTTAGGTAGAGTATCTGTCAACAGAGCTGACTGAGAAGTGCAGAGAATAGATAATGTAGTGTGATCGACCCGCAGGGAGCACCACTGGTAGCCTCAACAGAGGCTGAGTATGGGCAGGGGAAGCGATACAGTGTAATCAGCGAATGCGTATTCTTGGCCAGAGTGGCCTTGTCTTGAAGAGCTGGCGCCAGCAGTGAAAGGAATGTTCCAAACATGTAGCGGACGATCCACCCTGCCCTACCGATGTAAAAGCAAGCTGGTTGTAGGTAGCGCGCAACGGTTCAAGCAAGCGTAGACAAGTATCTGCTGGCTGTGTGTAGCTCGCGACGTCAAGGTCAAATCAAAGGTAGCATGTAGTCCCCATGGTATGGGGAGAGCTCATGCACAGAGGCCGGCGCAGTAGAGGATGCGAGCTGTGCTGCCTGCAGTGCCGTACCCCTCCCCTCCCCTGAGCCTCCCCACCAGCCACACCACCCAGGTAAAGTGAGGTGCAGGTAGGGGTGAGGGAGGTGATGACAGGCTCAGTAGGTGTGCGTCCTGTAACCTCTGCCGTTTTTTTGTGCATCTCCCCGAGGTATGCCCCGCAGGGCTTCTTGGCAGGGTATGAGGCTGTCTGTACTAGATGTGGATTTTTGGGGTTAAGCGCTGTCCGTGTTGCCAGTGCTCCAGGGTAAGGACGGGTCTTTCGGCTTGTCGGTTGGTGGCACTTTGCGTGATGCACGTAAGCATCCGTCTTCAATGTGCCTCCGCACTTCTACGAAGTATTGTGTGTACTGTTGTTGGTGATCTCGTACCCTGTTGAGGTATTCTGCCAAAATTGGCTCGTCGTAGTGTTTGGCGTTGTGTCGTAAGTGGTCGTCCGTGTCAGATGTCGTGGTTGAGCCTAGTTTTGGTTGGAGAGGTTGTTGCTGGTAGGCTTGGTGTCTAGTTGGATGCTGTTTGTGTGGTGGAAGTTATGACGGTCCTTGCTGGACTTGATCGTTTTCGGTGGTTCAGGTAGTTGTTGGAATGGCGGGTGCTACAGGTAAGTCTGTATTGTTGGGTGTAGTGTTGGTGAGTAGAGGTCAATTGACCAGGGTGGTACTCGTGCCCGTAATCATGCTGGAAGTGCTTGTTGTATAGGAAAAGAAAAGGTCACGCAGCATAACTGGGGCCACAGCATACCCCTCCCCGCGGTGTGCCCCTCAGGGCTCCCATGTCGGGTACTGGGCGGAACGCATCTGATCCTCAGGCCATCTTCAACGTAAGTGGCAAGTTATGGCCCCGAGGTTGTTGAATGATAATGCAATTCGACTTTCGACCTGTGTCAAATATTGAAGGTGCGAAGCAAGTTGGATTGACATGAGTGGCGAAGCTTGCTGTGCGGAAATAACAAATAAGTGAGATCACGTATGCATGGCTGGTGCCTCTCCGAACCCCTCCCCGTGGTGTGCCCCGCAGGGTTCCCATGCCAGGTACGGGGCGGCTGCGTGAGCACATGGTCGTTTGCAGTTGGTACTGTTGAGACTGGGCGTGGTGTTGTGGTGCACCTCGTCCTTCTCCTCCTCCTCCTCCTCCTCCTCCTCCTCCTCCTCCTCCTCCTCCTCGTCTCTCTGCTGTCCGCCCTTCTTGTCAAAGGCAGCCTGCCCTCGTCGTCCTTTAGAGGGTGAGCTCCCTCCGAGGCCTCGAGCTGGACGGCGCGGTCGAGGGCGCGTCGCCCGAGCGCTACTCGCTGGCCGAGCGCGGGGGGGGGGGGACAACAAGGGACGGGAAGGGGGCAGGCGCTCCAGAGGATGCCGCGCCCCCCCCCCCTTCCCCCCCCTCCCCTTGGGGCAGGGAGGAGGTTGGGGCAGGGAGGAGGAGGTAGGGGGGCTGGGGCAGGGAGGGGCCTCAATCCCTCGTTCTCCTTTTGGTTGTCGTCCTCCCTGTCATCCCCCCTCCTCCCTTCCCGAACCGCTTCTGCCCCTTCCTGCTCCTGTCTCCTCCTCCTCCTTCTCCTCGTCCTCCTCCTGATCGTTCTCCAGTATGGAATCCTTGCTCCTGCTACTTGCTGTTTCTCGGGCCCCCTCCTCCTCCTCCTCCTCCTCCTCCTCCTCCTCCTCCTTCTCCTCTTTTCTCCTCCTCCTCCTCCTCCTCCTCCTCCTCCTCCTCCTCCTCCTCCTCCTCCTCCTCCTCTCCCCTCCTCAGTTCCTCTTGTCCCTCCTTCCTTCCTTTCTTCCTCCCTCCCTCCCTCCCTTCCCTCAAGGTGGGCTATGCCCGACGCGCACATCAGCGGTGCGTGTCGGAGTCCTCTCGGCGCGTCGATTCCCGACCGAGGCCGCAGTGATCCCGCTGATCCCCTTCCCTTCCTCCGCATCATCCTTGTGCGCCTGCTCTGGGTGCTCCCTCCTCCTCGCGCTCCGCCCTGCTGCTCCCGGTCTGGACTCCTGCTTCTTCCCGCTCGTCCTTCCCCGGGGCCCTCGGCCCCCCCTTCGTCGCCGCTGCCGGCCGTCCGCGGGGAGGCGAAGGGGGAGACAGGGGATTGAGACGCGCGAAGGGGACGCTTAACTGGAGAAGGAGTTTGGGACGAAGGAGGATGAACGTAAGGGGGGGGTGGAGAGGCCCAGCCCGCCCGCGCCTGTCTCCCCAATTAGTGCTTTGCGCGCCCCGCCTAGCTCTTAACCGGAAAAGGCCCGCTCTCGACCCGCCGACCAAAAAGATGAACGCAAGGGATGGATGAGGAGGAGGAGGAGGAGGAGGAGGAGGAGGAGGAGGAGGCGAGGGAGGCGAGGAGACTAGCAGCACGTTCGTGAGGAGGCGAGGAGTTGAGGGAGGAAGTGAGGGATGGAGAACTTTGAGGAAGATGACTAACAGGAAAAGGAAGTTGGGACGAAGGAGGACGAGGCGCAGATGTGGAAGAGGGGGCGGCTCATAAGGAGGTGAGAGGAATGATTCTGCCGATGAGGGTATGGGATGGTGATGCTATTGCGGCTGATGATGATGCGGTTCCTGCTGATGATGCTGTTGATGAGGGTATTGAATATTTTGAGGATGATGAGGGCGGTGGTGATGAAGATGATGACCGTGGTGGTGGTGGTTTGGGTGGTGGCGATGGCAACGACGAAGACCATTAAGATGATGATGATGATGATGATGATGATGATGATGATGATGATGATGATGATGATGACGATGATGCTGCTGCTGCTGATGATGCTGATGGTGAGAATGTGGATTGTGGTGATGTTGCTGCTAATGCTGACTCGGATGACGACGCTGATGATGAGTCTGATGACGACGACGCTGATTGTGATGAAGGTAATGATGATGACGATGTCGATGACGGTTCTGGCAATTATGATTGTGATGGTGGTCATGTTTATGATGATGATACTGATGATGATGCTGATGCTGATGACGATGATACGATTGTTGGTGTTGATGTGTTGCTGATGATCAGGGTGATGCTGATGCTGGTGGTGATGCTTGTTGTGGTGGTGGTGATACTGACGATGATGAGGAGGACGAGGAGGAGGATGGTGATGATGATGAGGAGGAGTTGGAGAAGAGGGAGGATGAGGAGGAATAGGAGGAGGAGGAGGAGGAGGAGGAAGAGGATCGTGAATCGTAGATGAGCGTTTCGGGGTGTTGCTGTCTTTCTTATGCGGCCTAGTTGCACCCCTGCGGTACGCTCATAGCGAGCGCCTCTGAGCGTCCGTGGCCGTTTTGGCTCAAGTAATACATTTCTCGAGGCGGCTGGCCAGGGCAGCAGCTAACCCGTCCTCGACAGCCCGTCACTGCACTAGAGGTGGAACCAGTTTTCGGCATCGTTTGCATACTCGATACCGTGGCCTCCCAGGTCGTCTTTCTCGCTCTTTCTTTGCCATCACCATGGGTGGACGTAAATCTGAGAGGCAACTCGTTGGAGGGAGCCCATCTCGTCCGCGAGGGCGCCATGCCTCGTCTTCCCGGAGCCGCTCTTACTCTCCTTCGCGTGACCGTGAGGGCCGCAGCCAGTCCACTGACACGTTTACGAAGATGGACAAGCTGCTGGGTAACATCGAGACCCTCTCGCAGGCAATGGCGAACCAGAACCAGGACGTGATCGCAATCAGGAATGCCTGTACGGCATCAGTTGAAACATGTCCTCGTTGGCCGACCAAATGACCCTCGGGAGCACGGGGTACCACAACCGCCACCAGGAGTTGCAGAACATGTTGACTGCCAGCAGTAGGGACCTGGACACGCGTATGAACCAGATTTACACTTAGTTCAACAGCAGACTCTCCACTGACAGCGATCGCATGAACACCGATCTCCGCGAAAATTGGGGACATTGAGAATACTCTCGCCGAACTCACCGCCCGCCAGAGTTTTGCAGAACGCCAGATTTGTGAACCTTTTTCTCCACCTGCACCTTGCGCGGAAGTGACGTCAGGCAAGGGTGGCGTTCACTCAATGTTTGCCCCTGGGCCCCGCCAGAATGACCGTGGTGCTCTACATGGTCAGACCTACAAACTGTTGATTTTGGGTTTCTCTCGGAAGATGCTCGTGGTTGACATCCGGAGGGTTGGTGAATGTTGCAGGGACACGTTTGCGCCATAGGCGGAGTCTCCGAATGTAGTTGTCAGGGCCTTCGATTTGAGCAAACAGATAATGCGTCACTTCAGAACTCCAACAGCTGCGGGTAACTTCATGGACAATTTCAACGTGAAGAACAAATAATGGCAGCAACCAGACCCGATTTATCCTGGCACGATGCTATCGTTGAGGCTTCGCCGCGATATGAACTTGAATAACCGCCAGCTCTTTTGTCGCTTCGGGGGGTGAGGAAAGCCGTCGCCGAGTTAGTCCGCCCTCGCGGGCTGGAGGTTGGGAGCACCGGTTTGGGAGGATGCGTATACATCCTCAGGGGTCCCCACGACCCAGTACAGATCGCCTCAGTGCAAGTTGATGCTCCAAGCAATGCCACCACCACGCTTGATAGGGATTCGCTTCTAGGGTTCGGCATGGATTCGCATGCAGCTGCCATTGAAGCCGCGGTGCAGGGGCAACTCCGTCGTCCTTTTAGGGGATGATGAGGGCTGCCAACTCTCCCTGGTCAGTTCCCCCTCTCCTTCTCCCCCTCCTGGGCGCTGTGAGTGGTCAGGTCCACGCGATTGCGAGGGCTCGCAGTTTCGTGTTCCCGCTGATCCGCTCCATGGCACTCATGCGAATGGATTGGACTACTTTCTTCCGTCTCCCGCAGTGTCTGCCCGTGCGTGGAACTGCCAGGCTTTGATGGCGTCATTTCGATCGGCCAGCAATCACTCTTCTCATCGGTACCACAGATCTATTGAATTGTTCAAAAAGCGTGATACCGAAACGACACAAGAAACACACGGTCATATTGGTGACATTGATGAATTAAAGCGCCAGCTCCGTTTGCACGAGTTTGGCTTCTCCTTCTGGAGTACCCCAGCCGCGAGAGTGGGGTCACCGCGGCGCTCTCCCACTGGCTCACCAGTAAGTTTGCTGAACTATGGCATGATGCTCTCTTCGCGGGTCGGACCCTGAAACCTGCTTTCGTGGGCCCCGTGGTAACCTTGTGTTTTTGTGCGTTCTTTTCCCCGAATGCGCGTGGCCCCATGCTCGTTGTCAGAAGTTATTGTTGGATGGGCTCCGCAGGGGCCTCCACGCCTACATGCCGGGCGGTTCCGACATCGAGGGCCACTGTTTGGCATTGGGGGGCTTCAACTTCGTTCTCGAGAATGCGGGTCGCACCAATGGGAGCGGCGGCCTTCCTAGCTCTGATGGCGTTTCTCGGTCACGGATGTTCGACGAACACTTCCCGCTGCCCGCGGAACTTTACCAGGGCCAGGACACTCGGAGAGGGACCCGAAAACAAGCCGTCCATAATACTTCGTGGATCGACAGGATCTACAAGTCCCCCCCCCCTGGGGTACTTCGGGACATCACCGCTAAGGCCTGTGCCATCGGTTCTTTGAAAGCTCAGATGAGTAGCGACCACCTCTCCGTCGTTGCCGCCCTCGAGGTCTACCGCCCGAACCCTGCGCGCCCCTCAATTCCCTCGCGGGCGATTGGGCTTCCCGAGCCCCCCCGCGCCCTGGGCGAATTGATCGCGGAAGTTCCTCGGGAATGGGGCCCTTGGAGCAAGCTTGAATCTCATAGGGATTGTTTCTTTGAGGCCGCAGCTGCGACCAAGCGTGCCCTTGGCTGCCGAGAGACCCAGATTTTGCAGGGGCGCCGCCATTTTGCCTTCTCCGCGCTCTGGGCAGCGCTTTTTTGACACCTGCGGCGCGTGCAAGAGGCTGTCCGGCGCTGCCATCGCTGGCGGGCCCACGTCAACGATGACCCTTCGCAGCGTCTGCGTCTGCGCGGGCTCTGTCAGTATGTGCGAGCGCTATATTGCAAGATATTGAAGGAGGAGGAGGAGGACTTAATATGGGCGGCCCGCGTCGATGGGGAGAAGAGGGAGAGCGCGGCAGCGAGCATTCAGCGTCGGAAGGAGCTTTGGCGTCGTTTTCGTGGTCGCACTTCCCTCTCGGGCATCTCTGCGACGCTGGCGGGGCCCCCGTTGGATCCACCGCGGCCTCTGCTGAGGCCCTTGCTAGCTACTGGAGCGAGATAGATAAGGCCCCCCAACGCCAGTGACTCCCATCGGATCGGCACCTCGTGGGCCCCTTCATCCGGCAGGTCGTCGAGCCCCTTCTTATGGAGCGGGGCCCTATAGCGTTCGGTTTGGCCTCATTGGGC